ACGATCGGGAAACGATCCCTCGATGCCTCGATTAAAAGAAAGAAAAAAAGAAAAAAAAAAAAGATGAAAAAGGAAAAAAGAAAAAAAATAATAACAAACGATATAATCGCGACAAGCGAAACGTTTTTCCGGTCTCCCTGATCGCCGTGTATAACTTTTGTAAATAGGATTTTTTCGCGACGCGACCCACCGTCGTCCAATCGGCGGTATATCGTTCACCGCCCTTTTTCTTTCTTCTCGACGAAACAGACGTACACACACGTACACATATATATATATATATACACACGAACGGGAGGGAGGGGAGGGGGGGATTAATTCGCTTCGATCGAGTTCGATCATTTCACACTTTATTAAATAATTGTACACAAACAAGCGTCGTTGTATCGATCGTTAACTTTTCGAGGAGATTTTTCCCAACGAAGATATACCTTTTCGAGTTACACGTTATAGGTTATGAAATATTCAGCGGCAATAAAATAAAATTTCGAGAAGTAAATTTTACAGACTGAATAGTAGTAAAAAAAAAGAGACAGTCTATAACCTATAACTTGTACCTCGTCGATTATTTTACGCCCAAGAAAAGACCTCTAAAAATTTATAAAATTAAAGAAAAAAAAAAAGAAACCTTAAAATTTATCTAAAATTTAAAAAAAGATCAAAGATTCTATATATATTCATCCTCGAGAAGTTGATTGGAATCGGAATATCGCTAAGGAATATCGTTGTTAGATAACACGCGTTTGCGAGCTGTTCTCGAATAATTCTATTCTATTCTAAATAAATATCGAGTTTCCAATGGAAAGAGAAAGACCGCCTTTGGAGATTCACGCTCGGGAAAAAGATAGATTGTCGTAGGGAATGTGTCGTGCACGATACATAATCGTACGCGACGTTTAATAATTATTATAAAACAAAGTGATTACAGTGCGAAACAGTGGGGACGAGCGGGAAGTTTCTCGGATATTGGAAAAGTTTCACAAGCTTGGCGCGAACAAATCAAACATTTTTGTAGACGAGTTTTTTCTAAAAAAAAAAAAGAAAAAAAAAAGGACGCATCAACGTTGAAGAATAAATGGGAGGGTGGGGGATGGGGAAAATCTAGAGCAAAAGAGTAAAAAATAAAAATAGAGGAGAGTAGGATGAATTACGCGTGCACGACGAACAAAAAAAAAAAAAAATTTCCACGGTTCGATATTCCCTTTTCTCGAAGAATCGTCTCTGCGAGTTTGTTTTAAATATAGATTTATGATACAATTGGTTAACAGCAAAGGTGTTAGATCGAGTAAAATTACGTATTCGATAAAAAAAAAAAAAAATAAGAAAAAAAGTGCGAGTCAAAGTTTATTTTTCAATTTAAATATTTACTGTTTTATTTTACGGTGATACGATTCGAAACGGTTTCAATGTAAAACACAATTTACAACGAAAAATAAATAAATAAATATATATATATATATATATATATATATACATATATATTTAAATGGTCAAATAAATTTTGTGACCAATTGCACGAGTATACGTACAAAATCGAACGGATGTTTTTTAATGAATTAAACGCAGAGGATAAAAGCTTCCAGCACGCTTAACGTTCGGCTGAATTTTTTCAAAGCTTTTTTTTTTTTTTTTCAACGACGTGTCCCTTTCAACGACGATAGAAGGAATTATCAACCGTGAGAAGAAAACGCTTTACGTGCACGTGTAAAGAGACCTATTAAAAAAATAACGCCGTAACCACGTTCGAAAAAAAAAAGGGGGGGAAGAGAAACAGAAACGAACACATTCCACGATGTAGCTTTTGTTCTTAGACGGGTCCTTTTTTTTTTTTTTTTTTTTTTTTTATCCAGGACATATGTATATTAACGCGTGCTGACTGACACGTGATCACGTATCTCGCGTTTTATAATTTGTAAATGTGATTTTTTTTTTCTTCTTTTAGCAGAACAGTATTATTTACGCGTGTATACGTATTCGAATAATTCAGTGACACGGAAATGGGGGCGTGTTCTAATTCGATTTTTTTTTCTTTTTCCTCTTTAGATATATATACGTACACGCCCTATCTTTTCTACGTATCAATCTCTTTTACACGTTCAATCGATCCAATGATTGTTCAGAATATATGATATTTATAATACTCTTTTTAATATTCGGATGTGTCGCGACTCGATAACTCGACGATCGGATTATTCATATTTTTAAGGAAAAATTGATTTGACAATCGTTTAAACTCTCGCAATTATTTTAATCCGTTTCTACTAAAGCTTTTTACAAAACGTTTTCCGTTTTTTCACTAAAGAATTTCCACGAATAGCACAAATATACGTTTAAGATGTGTTTTGTAAAAAAAGGAAGAGAAAAAATGGATATAAAAATTTGTATAAAAATATCGTTAAAAAATATATAGGCGGATAAAAGTTAAAAAAAATTCGTTGGCACGTTAGCAGCACTTTAGCCATCATTATATGTATCATCATGTTTCGAGACCGCGGCAAAGACTGAAAACACATTCCTCTCGAATTTTTCTATCAACAATTTCCTTTCTTAACCAAAATTTTATATACCGTGCAGTCAGTTTCATCGAAGAAAAAAAAAAAAAAAAGAAGAAAACACCAAAATTCTGAAACGATACGTCTGATTTTAAATGGTTAACTTTTGATACCGAACTTTACGAATCATTCGTAACGATTAATTAGACGACACTCGTACGATAAAAAATGTTCGATAATCGACGTTCACAATCAGATTCGTTCACAGTCGCAATGTTCTTCGAAAACGATGCGTTGCCTCGTTGTTTCCCCTTTCGTTCGCGAAAGAAACAACGTCCACAAGTGTTTTTCCTTTCTCGATCGCGAAGTTAACTTCGATTTTTCATTATCATTCCCATTCGACAATAAGTGTTCTTTGTACTTTTCTACGGAATAATCCTTACTTAGCTCAGTCGATAAGAAAAAAAAATATTCACGAAAAAAGTAAAAAAAAAAGAAGATGAAAAGGAACTAACGATTTTACGTGTACACTTGCACACCACACCCACACATACCCACACACATTCTCAACAGAAAGAAGAAAAAAGTTCACGAACGTAGGTGTCCACGGCGTCGTAAAGATGAATTATTAAAAGAGTAAAGGGGCAAAAATATAAAAAGTAAAAAAAAAAAAAAAACAAAAAAAGAGAGAAAAAAGAAAAAAAAAGGGAAAGAAGAAAAGAAAGAAGATGGAGGGAGGGAGGGTGAGAAGAAGACGAGAGTACCCTGTATCTGTCACTCGTTGACGAAACATTTCCGAATTCTGCACATACACTCCTTCACTTTTTTCCATATGCGATCGTGTTTTCACTTACAAAGAGGGATCGTCTCGTCCAACGAGTTCTCGCCCATCGCCAAATTTATAAAGATATAATAAGAATCAAACGAAAACGATTAACGAAAATGGCGGAAAGTAAAGAAAAATTGAGGGGAGAAGAAATTAAAGAAAGAGGAAAGATTCCGGAGGAACTGGTCGGGCGAAGACGATCGATCGAGAAAAATTACGTGTTGTATATATTAAATATATATATATATATAAAATAAATAAATATATATATATAAATATATTATAAATATTATGGTACGAGATTGAATATAATAGTAATGAATATATATATTATATATATTCTGTGTCGAGGGCACTTGGCTTGCAACTCGTAAATATTAAACTGAATAAACTTATTTATCCACTTGCACTCCAATTGCCGAGCGACCTGTCGTTATCCGTGAATTTTTTGAGAAAAAGACTATTATTGGGCAGAGTGAGAGTGAGAGTGAGAGTGAGAGAGTGAGAGTGAGTGAGAGAAAGAGAGAGAGCGAAAGAGAGAGAAAGAGAGAGAGAGAAAGAGTAATATGGTTATTATTAATATAACTTAAGCGTGAGTTTTAAAAAAGAATTTCGCGATGGACGAATGAGAGGAGAGAAATACGATCGTCCCGGTCGTAAAATATTATCTTATCCGGGTGAGAAAAAAGAAGAGAACAGTGCGGGGGAAAAAGAAACTAGAGAGTTGGAAATTATTTAGAAAGTAAATCGATTACACGTGGATTGTACGTTGCCAATTAAATACTATAATTTGTATCGTGTTTGCAGTGTCGAAGCGTCGTTTGTGCCGTTAAAGAGGCTGAGCCGTATGTCATTGTGAGCAACGCACGTTTCTCTACCCATTGCTCTGCTAAATTTCAACACTAGAACTGCCTAAATATATTATAATACAGATTTAAAAACAGATAAAAAAAAAAAAAAGAAATGATAAACGAAGATATATGATCAGGGCCCTCTTGTTTTATAGTAATATTAAAAAAAAAAAAAAAATGGAGTTTCACAAATCAAATTTTTGTCAATTATCTATTAGGTTAATCACTGTACAAAGAAATAATATTCTTCATACTGCCAATTTACAAATGTCCGATTTAGCGAAGCAAATGTGCAAGATTCGTGCATTTCTCAACGAATCACGCGTAACGTTTTGTTATGTGGTATGTATTATTGTGTGACGAGCGACTAAACGTATTAAATGTAATTGTAAAACAGAGCCTAAAGAGAAGGGAAGAAACACATCGTCATACTTAACACGATGATAGAATGATGAAGGACGAAAAGAGTCCAAGGCCGCCCGAATTTTTTTATACACGCATACGCTATATAATTGTACACCGTTTCGAAGTATTTTACAATATTCACGTGTCCAATGAATCGGATTTTTCTTTTACTTAATCGTCGCGACGAAGACGATCATCCCTTGGACGAAATGAAATTGGGGATAAAAATTTTTGGATGGAAACAATTTCGAGAAAGAATCAAAAATGCCAAAAATTAAAAATTAATAATTAACCGTGACGGTCTCTCTCTCCCTCTCGAATTTATTTCTCGAGAATCGAGGAAGTTTCAACTTTTAATCGAGGATGAAAAACACCACGTTCGATCCAAGGTGATCGTCTTCGATCGATCAGCGACGAAAAATGCATCGAACCGGAATATCAAGAGCGAAGAAAAATCAGCACAAAACGGATGAAACGCGATTGCAAACGACGAAGAGCCGTGTTTAAAGGAAATCTCACTGCCAATGTATACACTTCGAAAATCCTTCACGAAGGATGCGGAGAATTTCATCGTTTCGCTCGAATCCTCTATCGAATCCTATCCCCTGGCAACCTAGAAACGAATTTGTCGAGGAACTCGTGTACATGGAGAAAGAAAGAAAAAGAATAAGGGATGGAGAGAAAGAGGAGGGAAAACGAGAAAGAAAGGAAGAAAAAATAAAAAAAAAAGAAAAAGACGAGCATTCGTTGCCGTCTGTGGTATACATATACGACTTGTGTTCGACGACCTGTTCGTGCAACGCGCTTACGACAATGAAAGCACGTCGAAACGATAATCGATTAAACGCGAAAGAAAGGGAGAAATATAGAGAGGAGGTGGAACGTCCTTTTGTAAGGAATATTAAGCGCGGATATAATACGTTGATGTACAAAAATTCCTTGCGGTACATTTTAAACGATATTAAGCCGCTTATTTCGTAATTCATTTCTAATGGTTCATTATTCTTAATGGTTAATTAATTATTATTTAAAAACGATACGATGATCATGCTACGATTACACTCGTATATGTATATTATATCTATTTGTATCAAAGATACATATAAATATGTTCTCGTTAGATTTATGCTCATA